TAATCTAATTTGGCCATATTAGAACCTAGGAACCATTTCAAGAATTTTTGTAGCCATTTCTTTTGTAAACAAATAATACGTAAGTTTGTGTTAATTTGTTATATAGTATGCTCTTGTATAATATGTATTTTCTCTCCAACAACCCTCTGAGTGTCGTACGCACTAGTTTCGATTATTTTGTTTGCCCAATCTTCTTCCCCATGTTCTTACCCTGAGGTAAGTAAAATAGTCGTTACAACCTATGAGGATGCAACAGGTTGTATATATATGGATATAGGATGAGTAGTGTATTTACAGTAGTATGCTACAGCATCTCCTTCATAAGTCTTAGAGGCATCACTGAAGATTTTACTATCATGAGATATAACTTCGGAGTACAAGTGTTTGATGATGATCAGATTTGTAGTTGATTTGGGGTATTTTGTGAGGGTTAGATTAATGGTAAGTGGTTGGATTGTCTATGGAGAAAAATTAACACTTATTTGTAGAGATCGACTTAGCTGATCCATATCAAACTAAATGAATTTATTCGTTCTACAAAAGGAGTACTAGTTTTAGCTTGTTTCATAAAATCAGTACTGGGACTACTGGAATTTGTTTCCGTACTAATATTTTCACTATATAGTTTAGAGATAGCTGTTGGCGTCTTATATATAGAGGTGGTTCTCTCGCTAAAACTTGTAAGCTACTAATAGTAGCTATTCCGAAGGAACCCAGTACTAATATCAAAGCTGCAGCCTGTATGCTGTTTAGTTTTTTTAAAGACGTTTTATTTGCTGCATTGTAGCATATGCCACCGTAATCTTATTTAGTTCCAATGAGTGAATTGTAAAGTTTAATGAATGTTTTACAGTCGCCACCCCAAACTTTATTAGAGATTTTCAGTATGTTTAACAGGTTTTGGAATGCTTTTTGTAATTTATTAATATGCACGTTAAAAATTTAATATTTTATCAAAAAGTAGCCCTGTAAAAGTTACTTGCATTGACTGTTTTATAGGTAAATCATTTATTGTTAAATTAATTGTATGGTGAATGCTATTTATATTAAAAACAACGTATTGAGTTTTTGCCAGCTACTAAAGCTACTAAAGCTACTAAAGCTACTAAAAATATGGCTGGACTTAAAATGGACCCTTGAGGAAGTCCATTATCTAGTGTTTTTGGAGAACTTGTGGTTCCATTTACTGTAACTTGTACAGAACGAATAATTAATTTTTTATGAATACAAGCATGTTACCTTGAATTCTATAATTACCAAATGTTGGTAATATAGACTGTTTCCATCGAAAGCCAGGGTTATGTCAAAAAATATTGCTATTAACTTCTAATTTTTTGCAAAGGTTTTATTAATTAAGGTCTGTAATAAGAGATGATTATCAAATGTAGACCGTCCCTTGTGAAAACCACTTTGAAAGGGGGTAAGGAGATCTTTAATGTCCTAAACAAAAGGAAAGGTTCAAAAAAAGAAGAAAAAAAAAGACAGAAAACTACAGAGGTATAAATTTGTTAAATACTACGCTAAAACTTACAATTAAAATTTTTTAAGTGCTAATAAATCAGAGAATAAAATTAGCCAATAAACAACAGGGTTTCCGTAATGGAAGATCGTACAGATGCAATTTTAGAGGCATATAAATAGAGCATATATAAAGCAAATTACTGAGAAATCACTAAAGTATAATAGACCAGCATTTCTGTGTCTGATTGACTTAAAGAAAGCGTTTAACAGAGTAAGACTCAAAGATGTAATCCATCTTCTGTATAATAGAGAAGTTGCCCTAAATATTATAAAAACTATTGAAAACATGTACCAAAACAACAAAATGGAAGTCAGAATAGATGGACAACTTACAAAACCTATAGAAATAGGCAGCGGAATAAGACAAGGGGATTAATTGAATCAATTAATCAAGCAAACAGCCAAAAGATGGAGTGACAACTTTTCACAGAGGTAATAATCCGCAAATGAACAAGCAGAATTGTTTATAAAGAAGAAGAAAAAGAAGAAGAAGATGCTGTTAGACAAAGATTTTAAAAAATTCCACTATTTTTCATATGCTGCATGGGAGAGAAACAGGAGGGTTTGATGGGAGTATATCTTTGGACTTGTTGGATTTAATAATGGGAATAGTTATTGCCTGACAATTGACCAGATTCATTCAATAAGACAGATTCTCGAGAAAACATTAGAATTTAATATTGAAACCCATCACCTATTCGTCGACTTCACGCCACATACGACAGTGTCAAGAGAACAGTGCTATACCAATCAATGCATGAGTTTGGTATACCAGAGAAACTTATCCGACTAACGAGAATGACAATGTCTAACTTAGAAGCCACTGTTAGAATACAGGGAGAGAGCTCTAGATCCTTTGAGATAAAGGATGGACTCAGACAAGGAGATGCTGTGGCTTGCCTCCTATTTAATATTGCCTTAGAAAAGGCAGTCCGAGATACACGAATTAGGGATGGCGGTACTATTTACAATCGATCGATACAAGTCTTAGCATATGCTGATGACATTGACATAATAGGGCGTAGCAAGCGAGATGTTGAGCAATATCTCCTAGAATTGGAAACAGCGGCGAAACAGGTCGGTCTAGTCATCAACGAAGACAAAACCAAATACATGTTGGTTACAAAGGATCCGATAGCAAATGAGGAACGAGAAACAGTCTTTGGAAGTCATACCTTTGGACGTGTTGACAACATCACATACCTTGGGTCGCTATTGACTGCTACCAATAAAACAAGCGAAGAAATCAAAAGACGAATAAATCTTACAAATAGGGCATACTATGGAATCCAAAAGCATTTCCACTCAAGAAACATTCAAAGAAAAACTAAAATTATTATATACAAAACATTGCTGAGGCCGGTCCTCACATATGGAGCAGAAACATGGACTCTAACGCAGAAAGATGAAAGACTTTTGGGAATATTTGAGCGTAAAATACTCCGCAAAATATTTGCAGCTGTAAACGACCAAGGGCAGTGGCGCAGAAGATATAATTTTGAATTGTATCAGCTCTTTGATGAGCCAGATGTCATAACGTTCATTAAAACACAGCGACTTAGATGGGCTGGACACATAATACGAATGCCAGAAGCTAACCACAGGAACACCTGTAGGAAAAAGAAGCAAAGGCCGACCGCGAATTAGGTGGTTAGATGGAGTAGAAACCGACTTACGAATATTAAAAATCAGAAGATGGCAACATGTTGCCAAAAACCGAACAGAATGGCGACGAATCTTAGAGCAGGCCAAGATCCACAGAGGATTGTCGAGCCAAAGATGATGATGATGAATAGTTATTGCATGAGAGCAGAGTTTTGGAAATTTGTGTTTTAAACAACAGGTGTTTAATGAATCTAGCAATACTATTTTTGCTGTGAAAGTTAGGTGTTTCTATATTGGTGGGATATCATCGTGTTCTGCAGATGTGTTTTTGGAGTTTACAATGGTGAATATTAAAAATCTTTTCTGGCATCAATGTGCAAACATCAGGATTACCTAGTATAATTCTAAAGAGCTTCAAACACGAAGAGAAGAAAAGAAGTAAGACAAGCCAGTATTTTGTTTTCACTAATATTTGACGTCTATTTGAATTTTGTTTTTAATAAAGTATTGGATAGTAATTGCAAACGGTAAACGATGTTAATTCTAAATAGTTACGAAGAACTTCAACATTTGAATAATAGAATTGCCACAAGGTATAATGAATGTGGAGCGAAGCTAAACATCATAAAGACGAATGTGATGGTTGTCAGTAAAACGCCAATACAACCAGAAGTGTTAACAGCTTTTAGATACCAACTGGAGAAAACCAACTGTATCACTTAGCTTGGTTGTAATCTGTATTTAAATGCAAACTGGGACATGAGCAGCAAAGAAATTATAATATAGATGGCCAAAGCTGCATTTTTAAGATAAAGAAAATCTTATGTAAAAACAATATTACTTTGAGACTGAAAATCAGATTAGTAAGATGTTATGAGTTCTATGTTATTTTGCATGGTGTCGAAGGTTGGACTTTAACGAATATACTTTTAAGAAAACTGGAAGTCGTTGAAAACTGGCTGCATCGAAGACTTCTACGAACAAGATTGGTAGATAGGTTTCGTGACGAAGTTGTTTTGCAGCGGATGGGAAAAGTTATGGAAGTGGTCAGAACAGTTAAGAGAGGTATAGTATAATTCGTTTAATAATACAAGGCAAGATAGATGAAAGAAGCGGGCCAGATCGAAGAAGAACATCATGGCTTAGAACCATGATCCTTTGAATCAGATCATTTGCGTCTTTTTTCCTAGCTGCCGTCAATAAAATTAGTATAATTATTTTGATAGTCAACGCGCAATAATGGTGCAGGGCACAGCAAGAAGAAGAAGGTTATTCGTTCCAAAGCCACTTCTGAATCAAGCTTGCTGTAGTGGTTGGTGAAAATTAAGCTTAGATCCTAGTCTGCTACTAATTATTCTTACAAAGAGCTTATATAAATGACATAAGAGAGTGAGAGATCTGTACTTCCCAATTCTGTTGCCTCCCTTGTGATGCAGTACAATAATAATGGCAATATTTATAATATTCCTAAAAGAGTAGTATAGGTAGAATAACTAATTAACTTAAAAACTCATTATAATCAATTTATCAATAACAACAATAATGAAGAAAAATATTGTTTAATTACAATTATGTAGAAACAAACATCTGAAACTAGAAACAAAATAGCGCATATATATTCATCTGCAATCAGCTCTGTGAAGGCAAATTATATAAGCAAACAGTTTGTCTAGTCAGGACATAATTCAGAAATAAATTTCCTTTCATATTTTAATATAGGGTAAAAACAAACAGCTGACTAAATGATCCATCGTTTTCACCTACTGACATAAAAAAATTCAATGTTTAGTGTATAATAATAAGGGTGGCAAAAGCTATCGGATATAACACAATGATAAATGATGCGACACACGACATGTGACATGCGCTGACCAACTCTTAATATCTTAGTGGACAATCACAACACATAAGGCATTTAAACTTCAATGCCGATGGTCTGGTGAAAATGAAAAGTGGTGTCAAAGAGAAACAATAATGGGTCTGGCGGAAATCGTTTTAGTTGGCTTGTGTTTGAACTCTACTTGTGACATTGAAGAAGGTAAAGAGTGTTGCATTTAAAATCTATATTAAATTAGATTTAAAATATAGATACAGTTTTTATAAACATTTTAAAAATTATATGCCTAATGGTTTATTATGACAACTAATTATTATTAATTACTGTCTTGGTTATTAAAGCGATTGTTTTTTTGACGTAGTTATTTTTTTATAAACTCTTCTCATTTTTATTCTGTTTTTGTTTTTTTTTTTGTTATTTTTTGCCTTCTTTATTCTTTTATTGACATAAATATTAGTGATAGTTGTTTGCTTGTTTGTTAGGGTTTATATGACTGCGGATACTAACTCCATTCGTCAATATTACACTTTTTACTCATTAGTTAGTGTTTTGTAAACAATTTTATCCTAAATCTAATATCAGTACTGATCTCTTATATATATATATATATATATATATATATATATATATATATATATATATATATGTATATATACATATATATATATATATATATATATATATATATATATATATATATATATATATATATATGATTTGTAGTCTCAGCAATTGGTCTGTGTGAAATAAAATCGTGACGAAATATTGAGAAATAACAAATAGAGTTTTATTTCACACAGACCAATTGCTGAGACTACAAATCATATTTAACACAGTACGGTCGAGAATAATTTGATAAATATATATATATATATATATATATATATATATATATATATATATATATATATATATATATATATCGCACCCCCAGTGCAAGACTGCAGTGTCAGAATAAGTAAGTTTCGAGATAAAGACGATTTTGTTTATTTTCGTGCTAATATCGGTGAAATAAGACACACTTTTTAAGAAAAATTAACACTTAATTATGATTTTGCATGCTTTTCAGCCTATATGACATTAATTAAAAATAAAAATTTAAATAAAATAATATGATTGCTAAAAAAATTAAGAATTTCATAGTTACAACACTTTTGCATTAGAAAATTGTTAATCACTACAAATTTAGTATTAGAATTTTAAAGTTACAACACTTTTGCACGGAGAAAATTGTAAAAAGTGTAGACACATTTTCTGTTAGTTGTCCTCTTCTCGTATATTATCTTGGGCCAAAATATTTTTATAAAAACTGTGGTGGGCTTCTGGTATCATACGAATGGCATAAGTATACTAAATCTTTATTTTTGACCATTTGAATTTTTGGCTATTCTTTGTAGGCAGGTTTAAGTAGCACGTCTCGTATATTATGGGTAGCTCGTGATGATTTTTTTAGATTAAAAGAATTTCATAGTTCGTCATCATAGTTGTACTTAAAGTGTGTGCAGACTATCTTTTCTACAACATTGCAGAATTTTTATATCTGTCTAAATATACTTCAGTACTATTGTTTCTTTAATACATTGTGTCTATGTACTTTTAACCATTTCGCTTAAAGTAGAAGTATTTTATCAAACGCACCTATTTCGTTCAGTTTACACTAGTCGTAGAAATTCTCACCATTGAATTTAAAAACAAGAGTAGATAGATAGATTATAATACAACAATTAATTTAAATTTAACTTACTCTGCATGTCGTTGCTATCCTCACTTATCTGCACACACAGGGATAAAATCCTCAATGTTCTGCAACTATTAAATTTTGACATTTTCGAAATCGTTAATTCTGCATCTATCACTTGCAAGGACTAATAATAGATTATATTGAAAGCTACACTACTAAGATATACCTACTCGTACTTCTTCCTTGAAAACTCGTTTCTAATGAGTTATTCAGGGTAGGCAAAGAGAAAGTAATCTCCGACAACGATAGGAATAGTACTAAACATTACATTTAATACACAATAAATCATCGGGTAAGTAAAGAAAAATTGTACCCAACAGCAATCGGGGTTTAGAATGGTATTAAACTTTACATTTAATAGATTCCAAGAAATCAGATAGCTACCTAGAATAAATAGATACCTAATAAAACGGCTTATCGCTAGGGGCAATTTAATCTTCTGCATATGTTTCTGATAGCCCTAATTCCTTTGCTTTTTAATGACAATGTCATAACAAGGTAGAAAAATGATTTGTAAAACTTTCAATATTTTTATTTAAATTTAAAACAAAAGGACTATAATAAAAATATGCAAATCAGGCTAGCTTGAGTACAGTGATTAACAAAATTATTGAAATTCACTACCTTGGTCAAAGTTGGGAATTACGGGAGGACAATATGATCAGACAATCGCCCCGGAAGGTTGCATAAAGATTTAATACAATTTGGGGTTTAGTTTTTATAGAACAAGTTTTCTGAGAATAGATATTTTTATCCTGTCAATATTGTTAATACACAAGTTTTAAGATAACTGTTATTCCTTTATATGAATAGATTGGCCTCGTAAATCTTTGTTTATTGTTTTGGCCGTTAATGGATTACGTATACATGCTGTATATTAAAATTATATACCACAGATATAGATATTAAAATAACAAATATCTTACTTTTTTCATGCCTTTCATTGCTTGTTATCGAAACCACTGCAATGTTCCGTGCAAAACTGTTGTAACTCTGTTACATTAGAATTACAATAGTTTTGCACGGAACTTATGTACAAAAACGCAAAATAGTTAAACTGTTGTTGTAATATTTAGCCTGTTAAGCATTTGTTATTTACTAAAGTTTTACAGGGGATAGATACTCATGTTTACAATCGAATTCCATGAATACTTCAATTTCATAAAATTTTGAGTTACTGCAGTCTTGCACGAAGGGTGCGATATTATAATATAAATATATGAATATTGTACCAAATTTTAAAGGAATACTTACTCTATAGTTACAATAATTGTAATTATTACAATTTAAGTTTATATAATTAATATTACGCATTTCAATTGTCAGTGAAACATATAATAATTGTCGAGTGTCCAGTGTACCAGAACGAGAGAATTGCGTGTGCCCTTAGTGACATTTTAAAAAGTGTACTAACGTCCAACTTACAGTCTTTATTAAGTTATCTTAAAATGACTAAACTATATACCACATTGTGAAAAAATATATTTTTTTTTACCTAACAATATTTAGGTATCTTATAGTTTGTGTATGTCCCCCCACTAATAACCCTTAGTGGTTGATGCGGATATATTTGTTTAAATAAAAAAAAAAACAACGCATTATTTTCTAATGTTGCTTAAATGAATGAGACAGCGGACATCAGTCAAACAATACAATTTAAATACATATTAACATTATTAGATATGAGAGAACAGTCCAAAATTTTATGTTGTAGGTTACCCATCTGACCACAAGTATATTGTGGACAATCATATAAATTAATGTTAAACATATGATGGAATAAGATAGTAGTTAAACCTTATTCTGCACATAGTTCTTGCCATATCCTGTCTTGAGCCTAGTTTAAAGAACCAAGGTTTATCCGTGATGTGGTTTCTGATTGCTCTGTAATGGCTTCCTTAATTCATGTTCTTATAAATATACTTTTCTCCTCCATTATTCCATTATTTCTTAAGTTCTTTCATATGTATTATTTTACATCTCTGATAGTACAAAAAAAATGGGTTAATACTGCTCGTGTCACCGCGTTTTCGCCATTTCATCTAATATTTCATTTCCAGTTATTCTACAATGGTCTTTAATTCCTTCCAACTTAACCTTTTTTACCTTGTTGCTGAAGTTCTTTGATTTGATTTATTATGTATAACTATTATGTATTATGAGAAAGAAGAAGAAAACCTGGAAGACGAAAGAGATAAGGCAAGGGGAACAGATTAGAGGGAAAAGGAACCACCAACGATTTTTGAAGTTAAAGATGCAGTTAAAAAGATAATCTCCTAGCTAAACTATATATAGAAGTTGGTCATGATACCATATTGGCATTACAGCAGCTTAGAAACAATACGGATACAGAAATCCCTCCTTAATAATTGGAATATTGGAATATTTTGCTAGGGAATAGGGAGAAGGAAAAAAGGAAGACCGAGAAGAAGCTGGAGAGAGGCAATTGAAAAAGAACTAGAGGAAAGAGAAATCCCTCCAGGCTTATGGTTGAATAGAGAAGAATGGCGGTTAGAAGTCGGAAGGCGTCGGAGAACGCTGTAAACCGATAGTAGTAGTAGTAGTAGTAGTGGAATATTTTGCACCATACACAAAAAAGGAGGTATCTTTGAATGCTCTAATCACAGAGGAATTACGCTTCTAAATTCAGCGTATTAAATATTTTCCACAGTACTATATCACCGTATGGCAGCATATGCAGAACGGATAGTAGGAAAATACCAAGCTGGAGTCAGAGCTAAAGCTGAAATAAATTTTGGAAAAACATTTGGAATATGGCATTGATACTCATCACAGAGAATAGAAGAGAAAAGTTCAAAGCAATAAAAGAGCTAGAAATACTAAACCACTTAATATATTTAACAAAACTAACTCTTGAAAAAGTTGAATGTAGAGTACGAATTCAGGGGGAACTGTCTGAACGTTTTAAAATAAATAACAGGCTGTACCAGAGAGATCCTCTCTCCTGTATACTATTCAATTTGGCCTTGCTAAAAGTAATACTTCAGACGATTGAATTATGGTTATACAGAAGAATCCTAAAGATACCATGAACAGACAAAGTCACCAATAAAGAAGCACTGCGGAGGATGAACAAAACCGCGGATTTGGTCAACATTGTGAAGAGCCGTAAGCTGGAGTACTTGGGACATATAATGAGAAACCAAGGCAGATACGAGCTATTTCAAAGCATTTTGCAAGGTAAAATATAAAGGGAAAAGAGCTCCAGGACGAAGAAGAATATCCTGGCTTGCTAACCTGAGAGCATGGTATAGAAAGACCTCAACACAGTTATTTCGTATAGCAACCAACAAAACCATCATAGCCAGAATGATCGCCAACGTTCGGAACGGACAGGCACCCTAAGAAGAAGAAAAGTAATACGTATATCAATATTGTTGGGAGAACGGAAAACGCTGTACGACAGGCGTATGTAGCTTTAAAAGAATTAGCTACAGAA